GGTTCGAGACCTACCTGGGCAACTTGGCGAGACCTCATCTCTACAATAAATCAAAAAATTAGCCGGGCATGGTAGCACAAGCCTGTAGTTCCGGCTACTTGGAAGGCTGAGGCAGAAGGATCACCTGAGCCCAGCAGGTCGAGGCTGCGGTGGCCGGGAGCGGCCACTGCACTCCAGTCTGGGCGACAGAGTGAGACTCCAACTCAAAAAAAAAACAAAAAACATAAATTAATAAATAAGTCTCCACCTTTCTCCATGGATTTGGTTAGACAAGAACTAGGTTCTGGAGGGAGGGGATTTTGGCTGAGGGGCAGGCATGTTGACAGTGTCTCTACTGGGGGAGCCCTCCTCCTATCTGGGACTGAAATAAGTTGAGAAATAAAAGAGCAATAATTGAGGCCAAAAGACAGAGCCACTCTGGAGGATGTAGCTTAGTGTGAGAGTCCAGGGACATGCAAAGAAAACCCACAAGCATGCAGAACAGGGCAGGCCTACTGCCTCTCCTGGAAGAACAGAAAGAAATAAGTCCTTTCTAGGGAAGCTCCTTCCAAGAGAAAGAAGGAGGGCACAGCTGAGCCACATGCCCAATAATGTCTCCCAAATTTACCAATCAAGTGAGCCACTTCACTCCCAAGGGCAGGACAGGCAAAGGGGAAGGGCCCTTCCAGTAGCACCAGGAATGGGGTAAAGCCTTGCAGCCCTCCAGCTCCTACTCCCACCCCTCTTCCTCCCCACAACAAGTGACAGAAGGCACTTCCTGTAAGAGAATTCAGTTCATGTTCCAACTTATGCAGGAAGACAGGGCCACCATGGTAGTAGTGGGACCCTGGGCGGCTGAGTCTCCCTCCTCCAGCCCATCAGAGTAGGAAGAAAGTGCCCTAACTGTGAGGAGGAAACCAGCAAGTTATCCTCTGCATCACACACATGCCTCTTTATCCTCCTGACCTCAGGTGGAGGTGTGACTGCCCTTACTGGTGTCTGAAAGAACAAAGGCTTTGGTCCAGGGCTACTCCCTACAGATGTGAGGGGCTCTTACAGCAAACCCAAGAACACCAGAGTGACCTGAAGGGGCCCAGAAAGCTCCCAGGAACATCATGGTCATGGCCTTGGTGCTGCCAGGGCCCGGCTCATTGTCAAAAAGGCACTAGGGCCACTTATTTTACAAATACTGAGTTGAGCGCCTCCAGGCTGCCTGGAATCAGAAAAGCCCCAAGGGCAGGGACTGGCCAAGTCAGGATCATGCGCCACCCTCTCCCTGGTGCCCAGGACAGGTGCACAGAGGGCCCTCAGGAAGAACAGCGTTTGACTGGTTGCTGCATGAAATGCACCAGTGCTGGCAGACCAGAGTCCTGCCTCATGGGCCTTACATTGGAAAGACAGTCACCTGGGCTCTTCCACGAGACAGGTGAGTGCTGAATGTCACAGCAGCGGTGAGGCTAGGGATGGAAGGGGAGCAGTTGATGCCACCAACACGCAGTGGGAGGGGTGTCAGCTCATGCTGCTGCCACCAGCTGCCACTCACCTGTCCTCTTGCTTCCTAGGAAAACTCTCCCTGGAAGAGTTCATCCGAGGGGCCAAAAGCGACCCGTCCATAGTGCGCCTCCTGCAGTGCGACCCCAGCAGCGCCGGCCAGTTCTGAGCCCAGCACTCCACCCATCAACTCGTAGAGCTGCTTGTGTTCCCTTTCGGTTCTTCTTTTTAACCGTTTTTGTTTTTTTTTGCCAAACAATATTGATGGTGATGCTGTCCCCTGTGCGGTCAGATGCGCCTTCCTCCGTGACGCCTTCAGCTACTTTTGTCGTGGACGCTTCGTGGGAATGCCCAGAGCCCCTCTTCGTGCCCCCCCCCCCACCGTGTGCTTATGGAGAGCATGGACAGACTCTGTAGTGTTCGTTGTTTGACGATTTTTAATCGTGACTATTATTATTTTTCTTTTGATTCGAATGTCTCTGAACTAAAACCTAAGACTCGGGGAGGCAGGAGAAGGGAAACCCGCCCAGCCCAGTGGTTCCACTGCAAGTTTGGGGGGCTTTTGTTTGAAAGACAAAACCCCCACCTAGGTCTGTTGTCACACATGCCCAAGGGTTGATGGATGGCATCAAGTGCTGGATCCCCAAGAACAAGTTACCCTCTGGGGTGTGGCTATTCAAGAGAGCTGGGACACTTCCCCCGGGGGGCCCACTCTGCCTTCTTCCCCAGCAGGCTGTAGTTTCTAAGCTGTGAACATTTCAAGGCAAATGAATAGAGGAAAAAGACGGCTCAGCTATTTTTTTCACAGGTTTACACTAGTTGAGCTAATGTGAGTGTCTTTGGAAATTAAGCACAAATGGTGACAAATTCCAAAACCAGACCCATCTTGTTGCCTGATGTGATTTAAAAAGAAGAAGAAGAAGAAGACTACTGTATATAAAATATTGGGTATTGCAGACCAAATTAAGTGTTTTGCCTTGTTTAAAATGAAATGCATGTTTAGTGAGCACTAATACAATCTTATTCCAGAAGACTGTTTTTAGTAGCTTATTGTGAAGTCAACAATAATGAATGTCTGTGTCTTGTTTTAAAGTCATATCTGTCTTTGCACAAATGTACCAATCAACAAGTATATTTTATATACTCCATAAAAGTACAAAGTAACCATGACTAGGGCCTAACCTTAATTTTAAGTGCTTTTCCAGAGTCCCAGTACCTGGAGAGCAGATATAGCTAGAACAGGTGTGAGCAGGACATATCAGTTGGAGCATGGGGAAGGTTGACATTTATAAGAGGGATTAGGTGAATGGTTTGCCCGCCTGGCCCAGCAACCCATTGCTAGCATTAATTGGAGGTGTGGTACTTTCCTGAGCAGATCCATATTCTGCAGACTCAAAAATATAGGCTAGATTCTTGGGACTTCCCAGTGGTTTAATCCATGTGTGTGGTTAGGAAGCCATATCTGGATTATTCACTTTTCCATACCTCCAGACAGGCCCTACAAAGAGCCAGAGATTGGGGCAGTCAGCTAACACATCGTAAAGAAGACACAGGCACATGCGTCTGGTTTCCAAGGCCCACTATGGAGAATCCAAACGTATGTTCCATCACTGTGTTCTCTGAGTGCAGATTTCTGCTTCCGGAAGTGACAACCCGTATTTGAGTTGCTGTTCAGTCCGGTGACCTCATCCACACTGATTTGAATTGAAGGCTAGGATTAAAAATTGCTGGTCACAGGCAAGTTATATATTCACAAGCAGTTGACACAAGGAGGCTCAAGCACTCAAGGGCGTGGATGGGGAACCAGCCCCAAGAAAAGGCCGAGAGGTCCCCAGTGGGTCTATCTGCTGCCAAGCCACTTCCCAGAGAATAGGAGCCGCAGAAAGATAAACATCATAACCGTGAGGGAAATGTTGCTGAGCCCACCCTAACCTCTAGCTTCCTTTTCCTGGTAGCAAAAATCCCATATTTGTATAGTGGACCAAAATGAACCAAATTTGTAGAGTGAAATTGTGAGAACCAGACTCTCTAAAATAGTGTTAATCTTCTTCAGTTCCTTATAGTGGTTCTCTACCGAGACTTGCCAAATTCCTCCATGGCCAAGTGGTAAAAATATGCTTTTGAAAAACAGGGACTTGACCTAAGATGCAGAGTACAGGTTGAGTGGGGAGACCCCACATGCACTGTTGGTAGTGATCAGGAATTGCAACCCACTTCTTCTTGCCCTGGATGGAAGACCTAATTCTTCCCGGTAATTCTGCTTTGAAGGATGAAATCAGTTCATGTTTGGAGACACCTGCCTTGGTCATGATATCTTGTTGAGCCAGACCCACTCCTTCCCTAGAACCTAGATGGGGAACAGAGAAGGTCTCCAGCTGTCCAGGAAAGAAAACAGAGCCAGACGCAGACTAACAAACACCGACGCTTCCAGAATGTATGGAAATTGTCCTTGTCCTGGCCTGCCACTGACCCTGTCTGAACTTTCTCGAGGGTTATTTTTCTCCTTCTCCTCTTTCCTGAGAAGGCCTTTATGTGTCTAATCCAGTGCACTCAAGTTTGGCCAAGGGACTCCACAGCACCCAGAGGACTGAACAAATGCCTGCAGGCTTATGTCACTCCTGTGTTGGGCTGCTCATTGTCATTGCTGTGTTCAGGGATCTCTGAAAATGGTCTGCTCTGTCCCAGGTAAAGCTAGCCTGTGATGGTCAAGGGACTAGAAAAAAGTGGCTTATAACCTGAAGGGTTCCGCAGAGTGCTTGACTGTTCATACCTCGTTTAGGGTGGGAAGGAGTGCTGGGATGTATCCCGTCCCATCAGTCTGCCCACAAGTGGATTGGATAACACATATATATTTATAAATCATGTCCTATTGAATGACCCCTATACCAGTCAATTTTGTATAATTCTTGCCTGGCATTAAAGCATGTTTATTGTTTAATATGTTTGTCTGGAACATGAGATTTCATGCCTCAACTGCTGCCCCAGCTGAATCTGTGCCTTAGTGAGGCTCCAGGTTTTCATATTGGCCTCCTCCTGGGTAGCTTCTGTCCGAAAGACAGACAGGGTTTGTGAGTGGGGAGGTGGGATAGGCTACAGAGTCCAAATACGTACCCAAAACCTTCCCACGTATGGACTGCCTCATTCCCCAGTCACGGTCTTCACTTTTTTCCCACCTCCTCTCCTTCTCCAAACTGGAATCCAAATATTGGGCACAATGAAGGAGAAATGAAGACAACCTCTTCTTTGGTGGGATCTGGGTAGCTTAAGGAAATTAATAACTTTTTCTCCCCTCTCACCCTGAGAAGTTTTCGGTGAAAAAGATGACACGATGCAGAGCCTACACTCTCAAAGCCGATTCAGATAAAGATGTTTGCTTTTCGTGGCTGTCATTGGCTCTGCCCCCAGCAGAGGCCACTGATGCTGGGCACAGGGGCTGCTAACTTGCTAACTTGAGTGTCAGCGATAGTAGGTGCCTCTTGGGCCAGCTAGCCCGTGTGTGGGAGTTGAGTTGGCCTGGAAGTCGTCTTTTTCTGCTGCACACATTGTCCCTGTGGCCCAGCAATGGCCTAGATACCCATGAGTACTCAGCACAAATAACCTCAGGTCCAATGATGAGAAGGTAAGCCAGGCATAGTGGCTCATGTTTGTAATCCAACACTTTGGGAGGCTGAGGTGGGAGGATTGCTTGAATCACCTCGAGACCAGCCTGGGCAACATAGTGAGACCTTGTCTCTATAAAACAAAACAAAACAGCCAGACATGATGGCATATACTTGTGGTCCCAGCTACTTGGTAGGTTGAGGCAAGAGGATCGCCTGAGCCCAGGAGGTCAAGACCACACTGAGCCATGTTTGTACCACTGCCCTTCAACCTGGGCAACAGAGTAAGATCCCCCAACTCAAAAGCAAACAAACCAATGGAGAAGGTGCCTGGGAGCCTCCAAGCTGATTGGGAGCCTGCACATCAGCAACCTGGGGATTTCCCACAAGTTGCCAAACCTGAGGCTTCTGTTTTTAGGGCACCATTCCAATGCCCCAACTGAGTCCCCTCACATCCCAGTTCAGGTATGGAGGGTACTCACCAGCTGAGGAGGAATCCAAGTGTTCTCTTTGTCAAGATAGAGAGGAGAGCACCAGAACTGCCCCTGGAAGAAATAGAGTTGCTGCCCCACCTCTCTTGTCTTTGTCAGGAGTATGCCCAGCATGCTCCTGAAATTTTCTGGTTTTTTAGGGGGCTGAGGAAATTAAGAGAAAAGGTATTGAGTCTTATATTTGCCAAGCTAATAGAATATCAGTCAAACACACCTAAAATAGAAAGATTGCTGGGTAGAGAAAAGACGTTCAGGCAGAGGGTAACACCAGAGATCAATCCACTTCAAGCAGGCATTTCTACAGTTGAATGCTGACCTCGTGTCTAGGACTTAGACCAGTGCTGGGCATTTGCCAGACTGGGTGTCTATGTGCAGTGCACGGCCTCAGACATCCCTGGGGATGCAAACAATGCTTACTCTGAGAGCATTCTCGCTGGGGCAGCCTGCAGGGTCCAGGGCCTCAGGGAAGCTCATTTTATGACTTATTTTCTCAACATGATTCCAGGAAATAGCTGGCATTTTAATCATTCACTAAAAGAATGGTGAAAATGCTTTAAAATGAAGGGTGGCTGGGCCTGACAACCTTTATTAAATACGTCTGCTACCAGTCCACCGTCCTCGTGGAAACAAACAGATGGACAAACTCTCAAGATGTACCTTTCAAATGCCCATATTTAGTCACTTTCTTGGGTTCCCACTGAGTGTCCAATGGTGACCCAACACAGAACCAAGCACTATCATCTTGGAGGTGAGCATGGTGGTGGTAGGGGTTATTTGTAAATTGGGAGACCAAGCTCAAGGCTCAGCTGGTAACTTCTGTGGAGCACTTTGAAAACATTTACAGAGTAGTTTACACCTATGCCCCATGGCAGAACAGAAGTCAAGTGCTTTCCTGAGTGGAGCATGAGGGGTGTTTGCTGCCCGGGGAACAAGTGGGTGATATTTGCCTTGGGTGTCTTTTCACCATCCCCTTCCTCTCTTTTGTTGCTTCTGACTGATCAGAGGCCTCCTCTGTAGAACTCATGAGTCCCCCAAGTTAATTCCAAAATTAACCCATTTAGGCGTGCTCAGGGAAGTGTAGGGATGAGGGACTCCTAGGGTCAAAGGGTAGATCGGATTAAGGTGTCACAGTCCAGAAAGCCTACTCAGGGAGTGCTGAGTGGCGCCTGAATGCCTCTGTTGGAGACTTTTCTGGAAGAGACTGACCCTGCTCAGAGCTCCCATTAGGAGAAGCTGCTGCTGGGAGCAGGACTGACCGCTGGCTCTGCCTCCCACCCCTTAGGAGCCCCTCTTAGACCACACTCTCCCGGTGCTCTTGGTCAATGACTGCACATGGCAGGGGTATTAGAACTGGGTCTTTCTTGCCCAAAGTGAAACTCCTCCAGGGGGCCACCTGTGCCTGGGCACTCCCCATGGGGCCAGACTGTGACTTCCTGGGAATTGTGCTCTAGTCTAAGACTCTTCCTGGCCAACATGCTTCCCTCCTTCTCTCCTGTCCAACACCTGTGTACTCCTGCTTCTTCCCTGCAACCTTCACATGAACTTCCCCCGATATACCTCCTGAACTTTTTTTTGTTTTTTTTGAGTTGGAGTCTCACTCTGTCATCCAGACTGGAGTGCAGTGGCCACTTCCGGCCACCGCAGCCTCAACCTGCTGGGCTCCGGCGATCCTTCCGCCTCAGCCTTCCACGTAGCCGGAATTACAGGCGTGTGCTACCACACCCAGCTGATTTTTAGATTTATTGTAGAGATGAGGTCTCACTGCCCAGGCAGGTCTCGAACCCGCGGGCTCAGGCAATCCCCTCACCTCAGCCTCCCAAAGGCGCAGGATTATAGGCTGAGCCACCGAGCCCGGCCCTCCTGAACTTCTAATCCCATCTCGGCATCTGCGTCTTGGAGGACCTAAAGTGATCACACTCTTTCCCATTCCCATTGAGCCCTAGGAAACACGGGGCTCAGACCCTTGAGCCGACAGTCTTCCCCAGGCAAGGATCAGGGTATTGAGGGTAAAAGATGGGTTTGTGTGCCTTAGGACTAAGGTGATGACAGAGCCCTAACCTCTATCATTGGAGGGATGGTACCAGATTTGGACCTCGCTTCCTCTGAGGGCAGACTGTCACACTTGCCTCTTTCTCTCCAGAATGTGGCACAGCTCGTGGGCCACAGTCACTGGACTGAGCCAGCACAGAGAGGGGGAGGCGAGAGGTGGTACCAGACCTTGTGGCGCTGACAATTGGGTATTCCTGCCTACCCAACCAGAGTTGCGGTCCAGGGAGCTGGGCATGAGTGAGATAGGGGTGGCTCACATGGTGAGCAGAATTCACCAAACAGCAGGACCATGGTTGCCACGGAACAAAGGGAAGACAGCCTGTCAGACATGGAGACCAGCAGGACCTACCTGGCAGCTGGGGAGAGTACTGGACCTCCTACTTCGGCTATGGGGCATGGATATGACAAAAAGCTTAGAGGCCCATTTCTAATCCCATATCTTTCCAGAAGGCTCCTCAATAAGCAGTTCCCTCAGTCCCTCCTTCCCTGCTCCTGGTGCAGGCCTAGAGGCCACTGGAGATGCCTCCAGGGTTGAAGTCAGTTGCGGGAGACATCTTGGAGGCAGAATTTAGCCAAGATTTGAAAGCTGTGGACCTGGACAGACAGGGAGACACAAAAAAACAAAGAAATGCTGCCTGTCTGGAACGGAGCTGGGCATAGTGGTTCATGCCTATAATCCTGGCATTTCAGGAGACCAAGGCAAGAGGACGGCTTGAGGTCAGGAGTTTGAGACCAGCTTGGGGAACACAGCAAGACCTCGTCTCTGGGAAAAACAAACAAATAAATACTAACTGAATGTGGTGGCATGTGCCTGTAGTCCCAGCTACTCAGGAGTTTGAGGCAGAAGGATTGTCTGAGCCCAGGAAGTTGAGGCTGCGGTGAGAATGATTGTGTCATTGCACTCTTCGGGACAGCGGAGTGAGACCTAAGCTCAGAAAAAAAGAAAGAAGAAAGAAAGAGAGAAAGAGAGAAGGGGGGAGGGTTGAGGGAGGGAGGGAGGGAGGAAGGGAAGGAGGGAAGGAACGAAGGAAGGAAGGAAGGAAAGAAGGAAGGGAAGGAGGGAAGGAAGAAATGCTACTTTTCTGGAACAGAGCTGCTCTTGGGAGATCAGCACAGACAATGTTTACAGGGGTGTGGGTGGCTCTGCGGGGGAAGGGGGTGGTCACCAAGGAAAACCAGCACATACTAGGATGTTGTATCAAGGTGTTTGCATTGGAGCCAACAGATATTAGGGAGACTGTGGGTTCCAGGGCAAGAGGCTGTCGTGACAAAATTGGAGTTTGAGCCATATGGTTTGAGCCTCTATGTGGGGGCTGGCATGGGTGAGTTAAGGACGCAGCAATAGTTTGTGGGAATTCAGGGCTGGCTGAGTGAGCTTGGGAGTAAGGATGGGTAGAACTGGGTGGACAGAACCTACTCCCTGCACTGAGCGACTACAATAACCACTCTGGGGAGCCTGCCGTGGTCACAAAGAAGCCTTCTTCTTCTTTGACCCTGGGGTGAGACATGACACAAAGTAACTTGAAGAGGATATGCTCACTCTTTTGAAGTCCAGGGCCTGCATGTGCCCAGGGAAGCCTAGAATTTTCCTAGGTCCACAGAAGCTTCTTTCCAACCAGGCAAGAGGCCCCAACACCTCACAGAAAGCACCAGATACTGTTGTTTTACTCTTATGTTATGAATATTTATTTTTTCTTCTTAAAAATGTACAAAAAATAAAATAACTGTATTTATAGTTTATAGACTCCCCCTCTCCCATTTACAAAACTATTAAGTTACATTTACCTTTTTTTAAAACATGGGAGCAAATTGTACATATATCAATCTCCCTTGCTTCTCTTTAAGAAAGGGCTGTTCATAGAATTTGGCACAAACCCTCTATTTCTGTTGCATTTTCATGATTTTTAAATAAGAAGGAAAATAAACGTTTGATTCATGTCATGCTTCCTAAGTTTCTGGGTTAGTACATGCCTTATAGTCTTTTAGGAACTAATTCCAAGATGATATCTGAATGCATTTTTCTGTTGGTACCAATTTCCAAACACTCATGAAGTCTAAACAATTTGGAAATATGTAAGAAAAATGCTTGCTCTCTTCAGTTCACACACACACACACACACACACACACTTGCTTCACGTCTCCCATCTTTCATGGATTTTTTTTTTAAGTTTATTTATTTAAGTGTGATTAATTTAAGGGAAAAAAACAAAGGAGAGAAGGCAAGTCTGCTTATCTTTCTGGAGTGTTTTTGCTCAGGAAGTTTTGCTCATCAAAGCTCTGCTAACATACACAGCGAGGGACACCTCTAAGTCAAGCCAGGGGTGCTCCAAAGATGCAGAGGGGAACAGATCAGATGGGATATGGCACTCTGTGCCACTCTTTGGTGGCCCTGACCTCATATCCTTTGTTCTGGCAATTGTCACCACAATGACCACTCAGAGACCCCAGGACAAGTGCAAAAGCATCTCTGATTTGTCTTCTGCGTTAGGGCAGGACCAGCAAGCAGTTTTCCAAAAAGGCTGAAGAGAGAAGGGTAGGTTGCTGGGGTCAGGTTGCTAACAATTTTGCCAGTTCCCTTCTCTGAAGTCCCAAGCCCCAGCCCAATGGTATTTGCGGTTACGTCTGCCACTCATGTCTGAAACTCTTCCTGACCCTAGGAGCGTGGGAAGTGCATAGTATAACACGTCTTTCCAACACTAAATTTCTCAATCTTAGAACAGAGCCCCATTAGTACTCAGGATGGTCCTCTCACTGCTGGCCTAGGGCATGGCAGTCAGAGTGGAGGAGGAAGAGACACTGGAGCGCAGCTGGATCCAGGATGCAAACTTTTGGCACCACAGGAAGGGGTAACATGTCGAGAACACATAGAAAGGTGCCTCTTTCTGTCACGCAGGGATCTTTGTGGCCACAGCACCTGCTCTCCATTCTGTTCAATACCTCGTAGCCTGGAGGAGAAGCAGCTGGAAGCAGCCCCTCCGTACTGCTTGGGGTCTCAGGGGCAGATGAGGTGGAAGCACAGGTGCCTCTGCTAAGACGTCAAAGTGCTTTACAAACAAATCCAGACTTTACAAATTCGGACCTTTGCATGGATCCTGTCCTAGATCCAGGGCCTTGGGTGCTGATGTGTCTGGCTACCAAAAAGCGAGTGCCTGAGTTCACAAGGGTAAACACAAACCCCTAAACCACCTACCTGTCCCCTAAGAGAACAGTAGCCCATGATGGCTCATCGTTTTGTGATTGTTGAGGGGAGTGTTCTCCTCTGTTCCCCAAGAGGACGAGGCTCCTCTCTCCCAGTCTGCCTCCTCAGGCTGGTGTCACAGGAGCCAGAGCTCATGGCCATTCTCACCCACACACTTACTTCCTCAAAACTCAGCACCCAAAAGCAAGGCAGTTAATGGCTCCCCTTCCGTCTCAAGGCCCAGGACGAAGCCCTGGCCTGCCATCGAGAGCTGAGCTGTTGGCGTGGCTCTCACTCTTGAAGTTGGGCTTTTGAAAGAAACACTTGAGATGAAGGTCATGCTTATAAACCATCAGAAACCATGAGGCACTACACAGGGTCCAGATTCTCATGAGAGCCAAGGAGTGCTGCAGCAGGCCCTGGCCTCAGGGCCCTGAAGGCAAGCCCCCTGCAGAGTCTTTCCAGAAAGCTCAGGGAGTGCCTGAAGTCGAGCTGGAGAAGGCGATGGGGCCTCAGACAATACGACCATTCCCAGGAAACAGCTCAAAGGAAGAGTCAGGCAGAGCACATCTTCGAGATAAACGTGTTGGCCTTGAGGGAGAGTCGTGCCCATGGAGGAGGGGATTCCTCCGGGGCAGAAAACAAGTTCCAGGCACACCCACTGGAGAGTTCATCCTCACATCTACATAGCCATCTGATACCCCCAAAGGCCCCCTCCCTAGCCCAGCAGGTCTCCTGAACAGGCGCAGAGGCAGAAACCTCTCATAGAAAGCAAAGTCTCTGGGTACATGTCTTCCCCCAGGCCAGTGGCAGTAAACATGCCCATGTACCACAGGTAAAATATATTATTGCAATATTATAAACACTATGTACATGACCGTCAGGAGTACTTTCTGTGTCACTTACTCATCACATGGTAGCTGAGTGTCTTCCTGTCAAGGCCTGGCGCCTCTTGCTGGAAACCCCTGGAGGTGTTTGGCAAGACAAACTTCCCCAGGGCAACCTGAAGGTTTCTGACCAGGAAGGGGGCATCCACCTTTTACCCCACCTGTGACTACTGCACCAGGAAGTAGCTCTTTTTGTCCAGCCACTCAGGAGACGGGAGCGGAGGGAAGGAAGCGGGGAGAATGTTTCAGGCTCTTCGGGATGAATGTTTCTCTTGAAGGAGGAACCCTGGACGGACTCATCCAAAGTCATCAGGGACTTGTAGAATCCTGGTGGGCCTGGACCCTGGGCTCTGGACAAAGGTGGGCAATAAATAAGAGCCCAAAAGGCCCCAGGCGCCTTCCTGAGGGGCTCAGGCTTCAGCTCCAAGGCAGGAGCTTGGCGGGTGGGCCAAGCACACTGCCAGCTGGGGGCCTTGTGCCTCACCCGCTCCCCAGAGTAGTCTTGTAACAGCAGTTGTGAGGTGGAGAAGATGGGTCTCTGGGTTCTGGGCCGGGGCCTCTGTCTCTTCCAGGGAGGAATGCACCAAGAGCTCCAGCCGAGGGGATGCCAGCCTTGGGCTCAGATCTCCATGAGTGTGACCTTGAAGCCTTCTACCATGCTTTCCATGTTGAGGATGAAGGTGTCCTCATTCGAGTAGTGCTCGATAATGTTGTCATCCATGTTCACCAAGATGCTGCCATGGGGTAGGGGGAGGGGGAATAGAAACAAAGGCTCATGAGCAGGGCAGGCTCCAGGCTCCAGGCTGGGGTCCTCTCAGCCTTTCTTTTGCAATGGAGGCTGGGAGGGGTGGAGGTGAGAGGACACAAGGCAGGGAAAGACCTTCTTTCGATTTTCTTTCCCCAAAACCAGCTAAAGGAAAGTAAAGCTTCAATTTCTCAGAACTAACTTTCAACCCAACTCTCTTGCTTTAAACATAAGGAAGTTGAGATCCAGAGAAGTTAGGAAGCTGAAATCACAGTCAGCTATTGCCAGAGTCAGGACACCATTAAGCCCCTAACTATTTTCATGGACCCCTACTGCCTCTTGAAAATGGATTTTAAAAATGCACCGCCTCTGCTCTTAGGAGGGAGAGGAACATAAGCAAGAATCACAGCTCCTCTTTGCAGAAAACATACTGTGTGCCAGGGTTTAAGAGATCTTGTATTTAGTCCTCACATAAACCTTGAAGGTAAGTGTCATCATTACTATTCTGCAAATGGGAAAACTGAGCAGAAGGTTAAATCCTTTCCCCCAAGTTCATTTGGCTGAGCTTGGTTTTGGAACCGGCTTTACCTCACTCTGCAGCCTGCCCTTAACAGCCTGTGATCTACTCCTTGGCTAACTATCCCTGGAAGAGTTACTAAACAACCAACAGCTTCCAGGAATGCTCCATGCTTTGGAAGGCCTTGAGCCAATCCCATTATTGAAGTCAAAAAGGTCTTAGTCTGAGAATGAACTAACTCTATCATTTTACAGCTATGTGTCAGCAGGCAAGTTGTTTAGCCTTTCAGAGCCTTGGTTTATTCTTCTGCAAAAATAAGAATCACCACCCAGCCTTAAAGGGTTGTTCTCAGGACAGAGGCATTTAGCACAGGGCCTGACACAGAGCTCAATGAAAGTGAAACATTATCATTGTCAGCATAAACAGCTGCACTTAAACAGCTGCACTGAGTTTTCTTCGGCAGTAAGACCATGAGACTTTAGTCAGATCTCAGTGTCAAAAAAACACACCCAGTGTATTACATTGACCTTGGCAAGAAGTGTAATATGCACTTTAATGAGCTTTCCAACAAGGGCCCTAGTGGTAAGGGTTTCCTGTTTGACCCCTTGATTAACAAAGAGGTCCCATCATTCAGAACACCTGAGCCTCCCAGCAAATCAAATTTCTTTATGAAAGTGGTCCAGAGAAGAGTTAAAAGACCATCTTTGACTTTTTGTAGAAAAATGGCCCAAGAAGCTAAGTCAACAGAGAGTCTCTCCTGGACTAAATCCTGCTCCCATGGCCACTCTTAGACCCTCATACACAGGAAGCCCATTCAGGGGGATGGATGGCAAAATTTGGAAACTAAGCACTTGAGCTTTAAGGACACAGACCTGGGTTCAAATCTGTGCTCTATGAACATGAGACCTTGGGAGAGATGCCTAAGCTCCCTCCGGCTTGGTTTCTTCAAGAGTAAATTAGAAATTATAATAGGTTCACCCATAGAGTAGTGAGGAGTAAATAGAGGAATGCATGTAAAGTACTTAGCAGGGGACCCAGAACCTAATGAACACCCCAAAAATAAGATCCATTTTTCTTAACAATAAGAACAAGCAGGTCCAATGAGCATTTGAGAACATCTTCTTGGTAATTACCTTGGGAGAATTCCCTGTGTCCTGAGCTCTTTTTGTTCCTATTCTATCACCTGAAACCAGCCCCAAAGGCCTCCTGTGATGCCCTATAAACTCCACTCTCTGCAGAGAGATGGCTTTGCCATTATCTGGTGTCCTTACCACCTCCTGACCCCTTTAGACCACCCGCTCATTCTGTCATTAGAACAGGGCATCTCACCTGATTTCACACCAATGCGCTCTCTCCCTCCCTCCTGCTCTCACCAAAGATCTTCAAAATGCATTGCACTTGTAAGTTGCCCTGAAGTCTTTGGAAAGATAACTGATATATAGTTTTTATGGAAGGTGTTTAACACAACTAACACAAGACAGTCACCATTTTTCTTCTTAAGGCATCACATAGACTTATCTGATGTGGAAGTCAATTTACATTCAGTTGGTTTCTTTCTTACCCTTTTTTGCTTTTCTTGTAAAGCTTTGCTATCTTCTCCACAGGCAGCCCATATTTTTCAGATATCTGTAATACCAATAAAACAAGGCAGATGAGCACAGAAGGAGGCCTAAGTGGAGGCAAGAGAGGAATTCTATTTCATCCTCTTGGACATTTTCCTGGACACAGAGTACTCTTCACTCACAAGTCAAACTCTCAAAATGCTCATCTATAAGCCTCTCTTTTTGGATAGAATTTAAATCATATGACAAAAGATCCAGCCACATGGGAATTCAATCTATGAATCCAGATCAATCAGAAAAAGAGTGACTCAAATCACAATGTTGGATTAAATAGGAAAAAATGAACAAGTTGGATCCTTTCTCCACTCCCTACACCAAAATAAATTTCAGGTATATCAAGGATTTACATGTAAAGGATGAAACCATAAAACACAAGAAGAACCCATGAGTCAATCCTTTGTATATTTGCCATTTTAAAGTAAGGAAGATCTTTCTAAGTGAGGCATGGAACCTAAATAAAAGGGTTTAAAGATTAATAAACACAAAATGAGATTAAAAATGTCAGTATAGCAAAAACCACCATAAAAACCTGAGGACAAATAACACACTGGGAAACATCTTTGCAACACAAATGACGGACATAGGACTAACTTCCCATACCTCAAGAAAAAGACTAACAATTCAAGGGGAAAAGGAAGAAGGCAGCATGAAGAAGCAATACGCAGGAAAAAAAATATAATTGGACAATAAGCATATGAAAAAATGCATCATCTCACTCATAATTTAAAATTTTTAAATGAAAGTGAAGTATAGTACTACTTTTATTTTTAGACTAACCACAACTCAAAAATTGATAAGACAGTGTCAGCTAGAGTATGAAAAACAGTAGTTCACATATTATACACTTTTATTCTTGTATGGAAGAGTAACAAGTTCAATTTTTTGGGAGAGACATTTAGCAGACAGTATTAAAATTTAAAATGCATATATCCTTAGACCCACGTATTCCACACCTAGTAATCTGATCTACAGGAATACATTCAGATGTATGTAAAGGTTTTCAAAGCATCACTCATTTATAATTGAGAAAACTGCATATAACAAACAGCCTTTAAACACATTTTAATATTTTCACAGTTAAAACCCACACAGTCATTCAAAGAAATGTGAGAAGTCTATATGAATTCACATTGAAAAATATGCTTAACATTTTAAGGGGGGACAAAGAAAGTTGTAAAACATCATATGTAGTATAATCCCACTTGCAGTTTTTAAAACTATATATAAGTATATAGAAAATATTTAAAGAACCTATTAACAGTAGTTACAGTGGACAGAAACAGGGATATTCTTTTACTTTTTACTTTGTACAATTCTGCTCCGTTTATTTTATTTTTCAATGATTGTGGTTCACTTTTTAAATATAAAGTAGTAATCGTTTAGAGATGGACTTTGGAAAGACCTGCCCTAAATACTTCCATTTCCAAATCTAATCTGCCTGCTCTTTCTGAGCCCAGCAGATGGTGGGACTCACAGAAAGCCAGGACAGATGAGGTTTGGAACTTGGATGACTGGAAAGTCTAACAGAGTCTAGAAAGAAGGCTGAAAAGCTCTAGAGAAAAGTTAAAAGATCTCTGGATCCTGGGAAGAGCTCATTTTACAGAGAATCACAGGTTCCCATGCTTCCAAACTTCCCACCCCACAGGAAGAACTCCCCATCCCCCAGTAAGCCCAGAGGAAGCAAAACAGGTGAGCCCAGGGCTGGGTGAGCAAGAGGAGACTGGGCACAGGTGGCCGACCCGCCACACACCACGGATCCATCGCTGATGAGACTGCGCACAGCAACACCTGAGCCTAAATGAGCCAAGTATGAGAAATAACACATCCAAGGGAGGCTTGTGGACAGGGAAGAAAGATGGCCTTGGGTTAAGGCATCCATTTGAACATAACATAAAAGAACACTTAAGAACATAGAACTTTTATGAAGTACACACTTGCAAACTTTAGATCTACAAATACAATAATTAAGCTACAAAAAAACCGAGAAGTTCAGTAAAGGAATGGAAGGCTAAGTCGTCGATTCAGCAAACCAAATGGTGCTATGAGAAACCAGGTGTAAAAAAATCTCAAAGTGCAAAGAAAAAATACACGGCATAGATGGAAACCATGAAAGAAAAGAGACTTGAAGACTAAGGACAAATAAGATGCAAAAATCACCCCAGACAGAGAAAAATAACCAGTTAGAGAAGAGGAAATAATGAAACAAACAGTAGAAGAAAGACCTCTGTTTTGAACAGCAGGAGTATCCTGAATCCCAGGAGAACTCAAGGAGAAAACACTTATACATCTGGCCCCTCTGTAAAGTGCCAGATCTCCAAGTGTAAAAGAAAAAAAAAATTCTGGAACACCCCAGACAGAAAGAACAAGTTATCCCAATAAATCTGGCTTCTGTCTTCTCATCTGCAGCACTAGATACCAAACGACAGTGGAATAACTCGTTCAGACTATAGATAAAAAATAATTTTCCCCTGTGAATCCTATATGCCAACCAGTTATCCCTCACTTCTCAGAGTGAAAGTAACATAAGGCTTGAGAGAATGTATCGTCCAAACATCTCATTTGAAGAAAAAAATAATACAGTATCTGCAGGTTTGGTATCTGCAGATTCAACCAACCATGAACAGAAGATATTTTTTTAAAAAAGAGGATAGAGGCTGGGTGCGGTGGCTCAGCCTGTAACCCCAGCACTTTAGGAGGCCGAGGTGAGAGGAATGCCTGAACCTGAGGGCTCAAGAACAGCCCGGGCAACTTGTTGACACCTCATCTCTATAATAAATCACAAAAACTAGCCAGGTGTAGTGTCGTGAGTCTGTAGTTCCAGCTGCTTGGAAGGCCGAGGTGGAAGGATCGCCTAAGCCCAGCAGGTTGAGGCTGCGGTGGCTGTGAGTATGCCACTGCATTCCAGCCTGCGTAACAAGAGTGAGACTCCAACTCAAAAAAAAAAAAAAAAAGAGGATAGAAAACATAGTAACAACAATTTACATAGCATATATATTATATTGGGTATTATAAGTAATCTAGAGATTGTATTAAATGTACAGGAGAATGTACATAGGTTATATGCAAATACCAGGTACTCGAACATCCTGGTATTTTGATATGGGGACTGATGTCTTGGAACCAATTCCCCAGGACAACAAGGGACATCTGTACTTACAAAAGAACTCCATCTGAACAGCAAATGCATCAGAATAGAGACTTTAAACTAGGCAAAGGGGGAATAAAACAAGCAACCAGGGTCATGCCCTAGGTTTGAGTGTATGTATGGCCACAGGGACTGGGAATGTGAAATACACGCGCAAAATGAGACTCTTAAAGGAAAAGGGACATAATGCAAAGAAAAATCTAATTGTTTCCTACGGAAAAAGTACTAAATGAGTTCAGCAAAATCTAGAAGTTGGAAGTTTGTGGTGACAGGGTATCGGGGGCATTTTAGTGGATTCATCTTAGGATGAAGAAGGAGGGGAGAGAGGAAAGATCTAAAAGTCTCATAGAGAGAATTGAGGGAGCTAGAGGGTCTTGCTGGAAAAAGAGTTGGAATTTCATTTTCAAATAGTGGAGAAGAAGAAGGAATTGAAACAATTTAGGGAAAGCGAAGAATGACTTCTAAATTAAAAAAGTGAAAAACAGCAATCCAACTGCAACACTAAAGAGAAAGAGGAAACCACAAAGTGAAATAAATAAGAAACAAAAACGTGGAGGAAAAAGGACCAAGTACATCAGTCACTACACCAAATGAGAATAAACCTCGTTCTTCCAGTAAAAGCCAGAATGTCTGGGTAGGTGAGAAAGGAAAGAGAAAACCAAAAGGAAGAGGAAAAGGAAGACAGAAAAACAGCCATATGTTGTTAAAAAAAGCAGCATTGAACATGATGTGGTGAACAAAGGACTGCTGATGACCATACCAAGCAAATGCAAACAAAAGCAAAGGGCAAGGGATGAGCTGTAATTTAAGGTGGATGAGGTGAGACCTGACATGATGGAACAATAAAAAGCACAATTATGGGAAAGCTATAGCAAGCATAAAGCCTTACCCATCCAACAGCATAGTACTTAAACAAAAATTATTGCAGATGTAGAAAAACCTTGAGAAAAGTGCCATTACAGCAGGAGATATCAAGAGATCTCTTTTAGAATTGGACAAATCTAGTAGACAGATAAGTAAAAACAGTTGAATAATATAATCAATATACTTTACATAGTATAATAAACACACACCACACACACACACACACACACACACACACATACACACATACACATTTTTGTCTCCTAAAGAGACTCTCTCACGAATTGGGTAACAGAGATAAGCCATTTGGGATCATAATTCAGTACAATGAGAAATAAAAATGTTAAGTTACCAGAAATGTTTAACCTCTTAGAAACACTCCTACATAACCCTGGCAGCCTAGCAGCTCACCATCTCTTCCTTAGAGAGCCAAATTCCTTTAGCAACTGCTTGGGAAGATGTTATATCTGTCTAAATACACTAACACTAGCAAGCTTCCTTGAACACCATAATGCTGTTTCCAAATCTGGTGAGACACTCGATCATGTAGGGTTGACATAACTTTCATCTCTCCTCCCCCAAAGCTCCCTTTGGAAGAATTTATGCTTCCTTTCTGTCTTTTTCCCATGCTTGGCACCTGCACTATTCGTCATGTCTCCCGGTGGCCGTATTTGCACATGTAAGTCAAAAGGGACTTGCCAAAGTGAGCTGCTTCTGCACCCAGAGAGTTCTGAGTGAAGCTCTGCTGAAGGGATGAAGAAAGGAAGACCCAGTTGGAGCCAGTTCTCAGGAGGGAGCTCACTGCTTTCCCCATTCCCCAGGGCTCTAGAACGACCCAGTTAACAGAGCTGGTGCACAGGGAAAAAAAATGCTTGAGGAGTAACCTGCTTCCACATCATTTCTAGGACCATCATCTCCTCAACTTGGTTGGTCTTGGCCAGCGCCTCTTAACCTGGGGTCTGCAGATGTTCATGAACTTGAATGGGGAAGACATT